AAAAGGATTTCGAGTGGGCGAGTTGCAGAAAGAGCGAGCGAAGCATATCTTAATTTATTACCTAAGGTAATGCAATTACTGTACACGTAAATAATCACCACAAAAATCTGATAATAAACAAAGGACCCTCCCTCCACAAGATATTCCATTCTCTCTCATTATTTAATTCTGTATGTAGAAGCTCTCAAATGTAACAACATCCAAATACCCCAATTTCCAGATAATACCAAAATATTCTCCTCAGGCAACTCGCTCATGAAACTTAAGAATAAACCACCCCTATATCCCAAATTACTCGATAACTGGGCAAGCAAACTAACAAGAGAATGCCGTTATGTGACATGTCGAAACCTGTCCTAAACCTTCGTTTCATCGGAAGCACATGCCGTATTAATCTCACGATCAAACTTTTGGGTGCCGATACACACTTCAAGTCAATTATAAACATCCCGAATTTGCAAATTGACCCTATGCTTTCACCGATGTAAAAATGGCCAGCTCTGCATAGCAGATGTTACCCAACGCGCTCGCTTGTGATTCAACGCATCCACTCGCCGCAAGCGGGGGACTCTGCTTCTAAGGTCATTTCCTGCGAGGGGCAGGCGGAGAGGCAGCTGCCCCTCCTAGCATATAATAATACTAATATTAACTATACATAATCTAAACTACTAATACAAGTTTTTCCGAATTTTAGTATTATCTGTTGTTCATTTTTGTAAGAAATTCATTTCGTCGTGATAAACCTTGCCGCAACCGCTCATCTTCCATCCAGTATAAGCTAGGTTCTCCCCTGGAGCTCTTTCTTCATGAATTTGAGAGCTCTTGTCTGCGTCTACTGCGAAACATGTCAGGTGTGTAATCACACGCGATAGGTTGGTGCAAACTGGAAAAGTGTGGTAAAGTTATAAGTCATTCAGAATTTTCGAATGAGATTTTTTTTTTTTGCGACACAAATATGCACAAATCAAATAACGGTAATTTTCGCGAAAAAAAGACACGATATGTGAATTTTATTCACAAAATAACTCCTAAATATCTTCTTTACGTAATTAAATATAAAGTGATAAAGTAATGAGTGAACTAAGTATATGCTTCACGTTTTGTCAAAGAATTCTTAAAACCCACAACACATTATATTACATATCTACCCAGTCTAGTTTTAAACCAAACATTTACTTAAACGGTTATGACTTTTGATCATGGTTATGAAACTAGACGGCTCAACTCAATGGCGTCAAAGCATCTATTCGTGTCCGGTCAGTGGAGAGACAAAGCGAGAGCTCAGAGTGAAGGGGATCAACACAACTGTACGGGCACTCCCCGTCCTTTGTCTCACAGGTGACTCACCGCCGATGAGGAACCCGAAGTGAGTACGAACTGAGCCTTTTGTTTTAGCCATACCTTTCACTGAGTTGCAGCGAGGGGTGGATTGGCAAACGAAACACGCACTTACGGTAACGGCTGAAAAAAACCCAATTACTTTTATTAGTGCAAATTAATTCATAAATGCACCTGGTATCCAGACCAGGAGGAAAAAAAACTTTAAAACATGTTGCAAATAGAAATACCAACATTTTATGTCATGACGGTTTTGTCGAGTCGATTATTTTACGTGATATTTGCATTTTTATAACCACATTCAGAAATAGTTACGTTGATGCCATCATAAAAAATGTCTTCTCGAATTTACTTCAAATTGTCAAAAAGTTGAAGTCATTTTCATAGTTTGATTTTGGGGCACTTGAAAGGTTTCGGATATTGCAGGCACAACTCAAACCTTTACCAGTAACTGTCTGTATAAATAAAGCTCGAGTGGTGGATAGAGAAATGTACTCACGGTCACTGACGCCCTCACGGTCACGGTTACTGACATTCTTATACTAGGAAAAACATCACCATCCACTATTGTTCAGTGTCGGCGTTTCCTAAAGGTAGTCGTACATGTTTAAAACTGAACGAACGTCAATGCAACAGTCATGATATTCTACAAAAATGAAAGGATCAATATTGCGACAGGATGTGGGCATAAATTAAAATGACCATTTTGAATAAAGAGAATCAACGATGAATTATATTTGGTTGGAATTAACTGTTCATTTTATACTTGTCTTCAGTTGTCTCAGGTGACATACACACATCGTAACAATTCATAATTTCTTAACCTAATATTAGTTTACGAGCATTTTCATTTGGAAAACTGTATTTGAACTTAATAATGATGCAAATGCATTTTCAGTAAATTGATTCTCACTGTGGAATTGGTGGAAACAAATACCTGATAACATGACTAAAAGAAAACACAAAGGATATTAACACACAAATGCGAATTATATGACTTCAGTATGCATTGATATTTTTTATTTATTATAATTGCATAAATTGAAGGTTCTCAGCAATTCTTCAATATTTCACATTTTCGATATTTAACATAACATTGGTTATATATATATATATATATATATATATATATATATATATATATATATATAGTACAGTGATTACCATAACAATAAGATAATTTTAAAAATGCATAACTTGGCATTCAGTCTTGTTTAGTATGATAAAATTCACACTTCAATGTTATTACATATATTCGTATTCTGGCAAAATCTTATAGGTAGGATTTGGAATGAATGATTGCTTCGAATTGTTGCTCTGATGATAGACGTTCTCTTTCTTCCTGGAACTTCAAGCAAACATTCACTACATGTGACACAGCTAGTTCAACCTCACATAAGTTACAGAGCGAAGCGGGTAATTTGTGTAGCAGGTGTGAGAATGTTAAATTAGTTTGTCCGGAGTGAAGTCTGGATAACACTACTTGTTATCGCCTATATATTTGTTTATCTAGATACACTGAGAAGAAATTTGAATGCGTTTAATGAAGGTGGTTAGCTTTGTATTCGGTCCATTCTTTTTTCCAGTTAGTTATCATTCTTTTGTTCGTAAATGTCTTATAGGGAAAAGAAGTGAATCTCTCTGCTGAAATGAAAGCATAGTATTCCCTTCAACGACACGAAAGTTTGATTTTTTTCGTATCCTGGCCGGTCAATAGAACTTCCCTGCTTATATTTGCATTGGAATCCTTATGTTTAATTGTACGAAGTGGCATCCGTTCTTGTAACTGCACACCAGTGCGACAGCAAAGATTTTTTTCTACGCATTTAGAAGCACAATTTCATTGATACTTAAAATAAGTGAATGATAAGCCCCGCGATCTGGTGAAGATGTCTCATGACGCAGCAGTGCGACATTCGAATTCGTTAAAAATATTTAGGAATAAAGGGCAGCGAATTCTCACAGCACAAGAACAATTACTAAGACTACTTCACGAATGTATGTATTAATTAATTACAATAAATGATTTTTATTTAATTTATCGTAACGTTTCAAATAATGAAGCAAAGAGATGTAATAAGGAGATCATGCAATGACATTGGAACATTAAGATATCGCTACATACTAACAAACAATTCTTAATAAACTCATGGTTACCAGAGAAATCTTGTGGAAATCAGAGAATCTAATGGATATGTAAAGTAATTATTTTTTATTGGAAACATTATTTCTTATTATCAACCTAAACAATTTGTAATTTATTTTAAAAATATTTTACTTATACACACTTAGAAAACTGTAACTCGATTCAACTTCATTATCTACAGAATTTGTAAATGTCGATGTTGATGACAATATTGGACATGCCTAACAACGTATCGAAGAATATTTCCGAAAGATGTTGTTTGTTAAAATGGATGTGTACTCTTTATTTCACCTTGATACAGAATTTATTACTATAATATGCTATAAATTGTTGTGGAAGTACATGCAAATCTTGGATTCATATTTTGAAAACTACTACTAGGAAAAATTTTATTCGCATAGTTTTATTTAAGCAAAAAAAGAGAAAGTTCGTTTCCGTTATAATGTCGATTAAAATATTTCCAGAACAACATCTATTTGCACATAAAGTATTAGAATATTCTGTAAAGTAAGTGGAAATAATTGCACAGATCACTTGGTATACGAAACAAAAAGTACTAAAAAGAGAATTTTCCGAACCCCGAAAGGTGAGCTGGAATTCCGTCAGACAACTAATTACTAAACACCTAAACTGTTTAATCGATATAAAATCAAATACAACATACAACAACATACATACAACAATCACCACTATTTTTTTCTAAAATCTAATTTTTTGCAAACAAATTTTCTAAATTTTCTAAATTGAGGAGTATCAAGTTTGGAGGGAAGGAAAACGTCTGAACGGTTTAGGTGCTAGCATTGACCACATACCGACAGACATACGTTTTGCCGACGACCAATTTCTCTGCATCAAGGACCCCCAAAACATGTATTCTGACTAGTCAACGTGTTAGATGAAATAATTTACTATATATAGGAACAAGATATATATCACTTTTTCGTTACCATTGTCACGCAGTAAGAGTTTTTCAGTAAAAACAAGGACACATAATAAAACATTGTGCAGTAAAACGATCTTTTGGCGGCAAAATAAAATCTATGATCGAGATAAAACCGTTATTTCCCAAAGCCACAAATTTTCAATTTAATACTTTTATTCTGCTTCCTACAAATCTCTGAGATTAAACGTAAGTAATGTGTAAATATTAATGTTAATGGTAAAAAGTACATTTTAATTCAAATATGATAAAATACATTTTAGGGGAATATTTCACCATACGTCGCAAAATTAAACTGTGAAACATCTTTTGGAATGATACTTTCCACCAAATAATTTGTCAATTGACTCAATGTCAATGAGGACTAAAAAGCGCTATTCAAGTTTCACAGTTTCAAAGAACAGTGAGCATTCCAGTCCAGACATCGCAGGTCTATTACTTACCCCAGCTCTTTACCTGCCCATCCTCACCGTCACACAGATTTTCACAAATGCTCCTCACACCGTCTGGCGATAAAGTGCCCAGAGAACGGAGCCTTCCCAGGTATAAAACGCGAGAAGCAGGCACGCCCGGTGGTCAGTTTGGTCGCGAGCCACAGGGACAACAACTCACCGAGTTCTAGCAGCATGCGGCGTCTGTGTCTGTACCCGTTCTGCCCTTCATGTTCGGCCTGCGAGGCGCTTAACCAGCGCTGGGCCACGCCGCTCGGCCGGCGGACAGTGCGCACCCGCTGTGCCCGTCGCCCCTACAGGCCCACTTACTTCCAAGGTATGCACATCCACATTCATTCGTAGATTGATTGATTAGGGTTAGTCCCGTAAGTGCAGGCTTTTTCATTTTTCCCCGCTGGATGGCGAGATCCGGCAGTACCACGCGTCTTCCAACAACAGGGTCCTCCCTCCCGCCGGGACAACGTCTAAGCTCCTGACATGTGTGGTAGTTTAGGGCATGTAAGCTTAAGTATGTATAAAAAGGAATGGGGATAGGACAAGAAAAAAGAAGGGAAGATCGTGCGCGGTCCGTGGTCAGTTTGTTAGGGTACTGCTCCGGCATTCGCATGGTCTTTATGGATGGATGCATGGAGAAACTATAGAAAACTATCGATCGAACCAGCTGCCACTAGAACTTTCCTCCCGACAGTGGCTGTAATTCGACTTTGCTATGTAGTTAGTGTCGAAAATCCTGCCCAAGGTTGGGACTCAAAGTCTAGAACTTCCGGTCAGAGGCGTTGCAGAAATCAATAACTGATGCCCCGAGCCACCTAAGTCTTCATTTATTGAACCACCAACAATGAACCTGCCCCGCATTGGGCATGTCAATTTGTAACGTAATTAAACCTTCCTAATTTATCAACCATATTTAACTAAACCTATTTAATCACTTCCCAAGATGGGTAGCCATTTGTAAAGTTTTTATTATTATTTAATTTACCTGCTATGCTCGTTAATCAACTGCTCTAATTAATCATAGTTTGGCTAGTTATTGCACGAGTTCGGCGTACAACTTACATCAGCTTACCTGTTGCACGAGGACGTATGACTCTGTACAGAAATCACGATTCGTAGAACTCCTGTGGAATTTACTACGTACTAAATTGATGGCGATTCAATGAAATATCAGTCTTTTCTTTTCAAATAACAAATAACATTTATTACAACATTGTAATAACGTCTCGAACTCGTTATTAATTCATAATTCTATGGACTTTAAACATTATTCAAGCGTACAGCTTTGATAAAATTCCTAATTTTACGGAATGACTTCTCGATTGATATGATGCCGCCGTCTTCTCCAACAAGGGATGTTCTGGTTTCTCCTGTGGTGTAATTTATGAGCCTAATGTTCATATACACTTTGAATGTCATCAAACTGCTGCTAACTACGTCCGCTAACATCCGCTTTTCGGAATATCCCTACATCTGCTCTAATGTTATCGCGTTGCAACCTTCCCTCATTAAGCTTTGGGCGAAATCTCTATTCGCGACTACTATTTCCTTAAAACTAATAATTTATAATTCCCACTACAAAACTAACCTCATTTGAACCCACGAACACGAAGTTTTAATAGTTTTCAACGTCCTCGCCTAATCAATTCCATGGTAATAACACCATGCCGTGCCGCACTTCGACAATACAATTCTCGTCTAGCATTTAGCATGGCGCCTAAATGTTTTTAGTTCGTTGCAATGCTACGCGTGTTCCTAGAATATTAACATTCCATGCATCAGGTATTCTGGTATGTCACAGTATACTGTCTGGTTCTTGAGTGTAGGTCATAAACAATTGCTTTACATTACAACGTTTGGGTCCTTTTATTTGATCTTCATCAGCTACAATAATAAATGGATGTTATTCGTATGCGTAAGTATGGAAGGAGACTCTTTACGGATCATAGAAAATAATAAATCTAATATTTACAATTACTATATTTACTATGATGAAGGCCAGATGAAAGGGCCGAAACGTTGTAAAGTAATTGTTTATTATCTACACTCGATAACCATGCAACATACGAAATAATGGTGGTTCGGGGCATCAATTGATGAGTAAATCCAACGGGTCAAGAATCTTAATATATCGATATTTATGTTTTTTGGACGCTCTCCAGGGTAGATTGTTTGGCACATTTGAATTAAGCAGCGAGTCATATTGAAAGCGTGTAGTTCTAAAATGTTTTGAAGCTCTGGCAATCTGTAAACTATGGTTTATTTTAATTATTAATAAAACAATAAAAATATGATCATTTGTTTTTAAAATTGTTTCTACTGACTTTATATTAATTATGAGTTTTTCATAAGAGTAAATTCTGTTACCGAATCAATTTAAAGCACGAGTTCATTTAATGGCAAACTGCGCTATAAAGTTTCGAAAAGATGGCCTTGTCAATTGTTATTTTTTTAAATTGTGTCATAATAACGTAAATACATTTTCCATCATGTTTCCTTCCTTTTCACTGGACTTTTTTACTAATATAATTGGTGTTGATCGTGACGGTATGTCATGAAACACAATTTAATTAAACTACAAGCTACAGATATCCGAGGCCTTAATAGCCGTCGGAAATCGGAATTTAATTTAACTGTGCAACTCTACAGAAACATTTAAATATATAAAATATCAATAAAAGGGAAAGGAAAAAATTGATTTTTAAATATATTGGCTTTGAAAATACAATGCTAAAAACGTTACGTAATAGTTGTTCACATTTATTAACTAACTCAGAAACATTTGTCTTGAATAAATAATGTCAATAGAGATTTGCACATGGGCTTCGAACGTGTAATCAAATTTATCTTTTTTTATCACAGCAGTACTCCTCCTAAAATCTATACGGTCTAAAACCTTTTACTTCTCTTTTGCATTACACGTTTTTTTTTCCTGATTGCATTTTTAGCATTGCGTTTTGCTCACCGCGGGTTAAAAATAGTACTCGCAACATCGACGCGAGGTGGTTCCCGCACTCTTCTCTTTGTCGTCCTTGCTACGCTTGCACGTCAAAATCGACTCGTGCGTGAATCGCCTGTTTCGCGCCCTTGTTACGTAAACTACTACGAGTATTGTACTTTCAGATCGTTTGATCTAATGTAACCAGTAACTAATGTGCCAGTAACGCTCAAAATAATATTCTAGAGGCTGAGATTTAACTATTATTTCTGTCTGTTGAAAATTTGTTTATATTATAGTTGGGTAAACACACTTATTAGTTTGTAGTGTGGAAATGGAAGTACGTCACAGATAAAATTCAAAAGCTGGGCACAACAGTACGAGTAGTTTAACCATCTCTGATGTTTAATTGAGTTCACTGCGCATCTGTTTTCATTAACCGTTAACTATGAGGCAGAACCAATAAATATTGAAAATAATAAAATTTGAGTGTTTACAGCACTACCAGCTTTTGATCTTAAAGTAATTAGAACATTGTTGTAGTAGAATTTGTTACAACTCAATTCGACCAATTAGATCTGGCCTATGAAGTCACGTGTACAAATAACATTTTGGTTGTACATTATCAAGAAACGTGTGGTTGAAACTGTGGACCACAAATATGTTGTTTCCGGGGACAGTTACATACCTTGAGATAGAGACTTTGGTCTTATTAAGAAAAGAAAAAGGTCCATATATATGTGTTTACTCCTTCAAAATGGGTTACTGTTTTACCAGAATCAATACACAAATATCAAAGTTTAAGAAATGAAGCTACCCAACTTTGTTTCAGCATAACCAATCGTGTGAAAAATATACAATGGAAAATTCACTGCAGAAGATAAGGTTGCAGTGAATTTTAGTAAAATCTCATGTTTGAAACGAACTGAGGATCATCCATAGAAATACTTCTTTAAACATTCACTGTCAGAACAAGGGAGTTACAGTTCAGTAAAGTCACTAAGGGCAAAATCGTAGAGAGAAACACACTTTTGATCTTGCATAAATTAATCTTCATGAAAAAAACAAATCGACAAGTTCAATCAAAGCCAATTAATTGAAAGATATTTAAGAACTTTTAAAATATGTACTAGTCGTATATCATGATTTCTTCATCAGTCTCTCTTCTGAAACTCATCAGGAAGGTAATGACCACGAACATCATTATTTCTTTGCTATATCTGATTATGTATGATCACTATATTGGTAATTATTTTTATTTTGTTCTTATATTTTATTTCTTGTATATTCTAATGTGGGCATGACGTACGTGGCTTGCAGTATCTTGTAGTAATGTACCTGCAAGCAATACTTATTACAAGACAATTATCTTACAAACTTCACAAAGAAAATGACAGACAGACAGAAAATGACAGAATACGACTAAACATCATCGGTCTAAACACCAACACATCTTAATAAACTATTTCCTATCTTAATTGTACAAAATTGGCATTTAACACACGCGTACATAGTATTATGTTACAAGGAACGTCATTAGAAACGCATAAACAAGAAATACTCTTCCTTCTGCTTCGTCATTCTGGCTCCACTTGCCGCGAAGTCTTCGTCCAGTATCAGGCCAGCGTCTCCCGCAAGCGTCTCGGGCTCGGCGCGCTCGCCTCCTTCCCCTCCTCAGCATCCCCGCCTCGCTCCCGCCTCGTCCCCGCCTCGTCCCCGGGGAGCGCCGGCCGGCCGCCCGCACGTAGGCGGCAGGGGAGGGGCGTAACTCGATTTGTCTCCGCGCCGCCGCCCTCGTTCGGCGTTCGGGGGTCGAATTGCGTTAGCCGCGCGGCCGAGGCGGTGGGCGCTGCATTGAAACTGATTTAAAGTAAACAGCCGCGCCACCGCCACTAACGCAATAACGGGGTGGCGCTGTTTGCTTCGCTCGCGCCGCGGGGGGATGGGGGGGTGGATGAGGGCGGGTCTGCGAGTGGGAGAGGACTTGGTAAAGCTTGGAGAGCAAAGGGTGGCGATGAATTGGTAACAGAAGAGGCGAAGGCAGAAATTGACGGGGCGTGGCTGGAGATATGACTGGATGTGCGAGAGGGACAGGAATTGAAGTAAAGTTTGGTGCTAGAAGTTGGCGTGGTAACAGAAGTGGCGATAGCAGAAGTAGCGGTAGCGCTGTGGCTAAGGTTAGACGAAATGACGAGCCCGCTGACGGGACGAAGTCGGAGATAAGAACGGATCTGCGAGTGAATCGAAGGGTGGCGATGTGGTGGAAACGGAAGTAGCAATGTCAGAAAGACTGGGCGAGGCTTTAGTCTGGGCTTTAGGCGTTAGGTGGCGATTGCAAAAAAGCGGTAGTGGTCTGGAGATGGCCGCGAGTAGCCAGCACACTG